ATGCAGGTGGCATGACTTTCTTACTACGAATTAGTACAAAAATTATGTAAAATTCAGTGTTAAAATTTCCCGGAGTATATCACAGGGATTATGAAAACGTATAACTGGGGATCTTACGGAAATCATAGAGTATGCTATGTATTTTCAACTAGACTACAACTTTCGTACCGTTTGACAGAAGAATAAGTATTTTCTATAGTTCTGCCTTGTTCCAGTAATCGGTAAACGGTATCGCAACGATTTCTTTCAACTGCAATCAGTTTACAACAAGTTTAAACTTTACTAAGCCCAATCAGTTATGAGAACACAGAAGCTGGGCTATGTCCTGGGTGTCGTTTTGTTCTTCAAAACCTGTCGTAAATGTAATGGTACTAGCAAGAAAATTAACGAGGCCTCTCAGTTCCCGTCTAACCGCGTGTACTAAGGAACGTATATAAGAGGCCTAATAATTAGGCTGTTTGCATGGACAAAATCAGGGACAATTTTTGAAATCTCAACATTTTGTGCCTCTCAACGTGGGCTGCCCCGCATAATTTACAGCGTGCACTTACAAGGCCTCGGATTAGGCTGCAAAAAGCTGATAAGTTTGGCTGTAACATCCGACATGTATAACGTCCAGTCTCAAATAAATTCGCTAACTGTAAATGAACTGGAGCGATAACTCGGTTGCCATCTTTGCAGTCGAATAGAAGAACCAGTCAATCTTTTTTTACTGTTTATATCGGCACGGTTAATGTAATAATGATCGTGTGCACAAAAAAATAAAGAATGGCCGGCGTCGGTACAACAATCAGTTCTGACGCAATTTAGATATGTATATTTTTATTGTCGGGAAGGATGCATGGGTCTGCGGCGCAGGCTACACACGAGAGCTAGCAGCTGAGCTAACGACACCTCGCGGGGCAGTTAGCTCAGGCCGAAAACCATCCGCTGATCCGCACACGTGAGAAACTTGCCTCTTGAGTCGAATTCCTCACGAAAACCTTACCGCACACGAAAGTAACTTGCTGAGCTAACAACCACGTGTGGTCTTCAGCTTAGCTAATAGCTCATGCACGTGCATGTGCGGTGGGCTTTGCGATCTACCACGCGGTTAGCTCGACGTGCTAATTATAGTCTATTATTTTGCTACCTCCTCCGCAGGCGCTAGAGGGCATTTCAGGCGATTTCGAAGAATAAGATTATTTTGCTAGAAATAAGCTATTAGCCACGGAAAATTAATTATGCTGCCCTGATATATGTTCATGTACCTATATATACCTACTGCACACAAATATAGACGGAACTATTCACAGCGCAGTTCAAAGCTACTGCATATTCTATTACAATTGTCACAACTTGATTTGTATAAATGTCATGCAGTACACATTTACATATATGAATATAAATTTCTGTGCTCATAACAGCAGCCGTATTTCTCGAGGTATATTTCGCCATGAGAACTGCACCATACAGTACTTCACGCGGAAATATTTTGAAGTATCAAATTCTGTGGTTTTAGTTACATGGGATCTTCCATAAGCAGTTCTGGTAAGGTAAAAATCGTTATTTCCTGCAATACACGCCTCATTTCAGCTCGATCGCGTCAAACGCCTGAAAAGTTTGCATATGCATGCAATGTAAGTATCAAGTAAACACTGATAAACATAGAATATTAAATAATATCTTTCGATTATGAGTTTTTCTGAACTTTGCTGAGTCTCATAATTCAGCATTCATTACCGGCCCATCCTATGACACACAATTTTTTTTACAGTAGTGCATGTTTATATGTATTTATTATTAAATAATAAAGGAAGTTAATGTTATACGGGTTTTCGTATCGTAGTGTCGCGGGTCCTAGGACGCTTGTCCGGTCGGCTACTTGCCCCCTCCGGTGAGTATAAATATGAGCCCAGTTTGCCTGATCGAGTTGCTAGTTGCTTGCGTGACCCATCCCTCCCGTTTCCCTAACGACTTCACGCGATGTTGTGAACTCTACGGGAGAAGCGTCTTATTAATCTCGCTGGGGTTTGTTTTTTTTTTGTTAGTTTGTTTTGCAGGATTAAGCACAGTTCTTTTCACACCCGTTTTGGTCGTGGAATTGGTGTTTGGGGTAAAGGTAAATTCATTAATGATCGCCACATTTACAGGTTTTTTTTTTTTTTTGTTTCGTGTGTGTGTGTACTTTGATGTTCGTATCGTTTATTCCACGGTTTCACTTCAGTGACTCACGTGTGACAGTTGATCACGGGATGGAGGAGGTACCGTTAAAATAGCATGGTTCGTTGAGTTATTATCTGCGCCGAAAACAGCAAACTCAAAAGAAACACCGTTTCACCCCTAGCCCGACCGTTTCGCTCGGATACCGTCTCCATCCCTACCGATCGGCAGCGGGCAAAAATATAGTGTAAGAGCTGGTGTGCTATCGTAATGATGTGAGCCTTAGGATCCGTTAGAACGTTAAGCTCTTATTGCTATGTTAGGCAATGTATGTTTATGTAAGAACTCACATCAGTCACATGCATATTTGAACTGCTCGACTCGGTAAATCCGATAATAAGATATTAATAAATATGGCATATCCATGTGCATGTTTGAAAGATTTCTGTTCTCTTACACTTCATGAAAACTGCACTAGAAGTAGACGGTTTGAATTATTATTGTCTGTCTTATTAAGCAAATATCTAAGAATAAATCGAGTAATATGCTATCATATCGAGTAATGTGCATTCTATATAACTTGCATGCATGCATGGAGAGTTCGTATAACTTGGTTGCTAAATCTTAATTACGATTTTTTATTAGCTTCAGTTAAAAAAACAGTTCACGATTCGATTCTAAGCTCATGAGATTCGATTCTGAGCTCATGAAATATGAAAAAATTTCACAATATCGTATGAACTACATAAGGTATATAAACAAGGTCAACGTGATATGATATATTATAAACAAGGTCAAAGTGATATGATATATTATAAACAAGGTCAAAGTCAGTTGCTGCACCGTCAACATCTGGAATATATTTGCATACAAATTATTACTCCAGCCTGAGCGACAGAGTTGAAAATTCGCCTAGGTTTTGTTTTTGTTTTTTTTTGTTTGTTTTTTATGTTTCGTCGTCGCAAGTGTGTTTTGGCGCGAAATATACTAGAATTTGAAAAGTGTATGTGACCGTATTTAGGCTATCCACGTCACATTTTTGTCTCCCAAGAGTTGTGGTGCACAACTCGAAATCTCGGACTATTTACTGATGCGCGATTTGATTTCGCTCGCACGATACGGCAATTCCTTCAAGAGGAACAAATAAACCGTTCTTTTGATGCTGTTCGATTAAGTTAAGATTTAATTGGGACAAGAATATATTTAATAAATGTAGATTCTGGTCCTATTTTATTAATATCGTTGCTATTTCGATGTGGTGTTGACACGTCGCAGTTTGCACAGGATTGAAGATTTTAATAAGCGCGAATTCCAAAGTGTAAGACAAAGTGAACGTATCATATATGCGGTTTATTTACATTTTTTAACAATTAAACTTCTATACTTTTTAAAGTACGATGTGCTTCTGAATGTCGCAATCGAACAACATTTAGGTTCGCAAGGCATCTAAATGAGTATGAACTGTATTGTTTATGTTCAGAGGCTTTAAATTGAAGACTGGCACGTGCACGGCACGGCGGAGTTACCGCCAGAACAGGCGTCTTGTTGTACACTTACTAGCGGTCAAAAAGAGCTGCTCAAAATGTTTAAATGCTCTCAAATGAACGTAACTGTCCCTCTAACAATGTATACGAGTAAATATAGACTAGATTAACTAGATTGACCCTCCTTTGGCCTTATAATTGATGATTGCCTTACACCGGCGTGCCATACTTTCTGTTAAGATGGTAATCTTGAGCGGTGAAAAGAAATTCATCCTATGGACAGTCTTTACAGACAGAAATTCATCCTATGGACGCTTTATGAATTAATTCCTTTCTTGCACTATCCCCTTGACATTGTCCGACAGATTTTCAATATGGTTGAGGTATTTTGACTGGGCAGGCCAATCCATTTCTGTCACTCCCTCTTCCTGAAACCATTGTTTGACTCTCTTGGAAGCGTGGCAGGTTGCATTACATTACTGAAATATTGCTTGAAATAGGAGAATTGTCCAAAATGGCTATAAAGCTCTCTCTGATATTCGCTTCTCAGTTTATGAATTTGTATCTAAACAATTCTTTTTGACCGCTAGTGTACAATAAAATATTGATTGTTACAATTCCTGTTACATACGACAGTAGCAACATTTGAGCAGTTCTTTTTGACCGCCAGTAGAAATACTCTATCACTGCTGTAACTTTAACATCTTGTCCATCATCTCTAATTCCTAACTGCCCAATGAAATGCTGTTTCACTGCTACTATATTCTTAGCGAAATATTTCATTTCAAAATATGACCACTCTGACCATTTTCGTTAAAGGAAAGCGCCTGAAGTCAAATTGAAGATGGATTCCACAAATAGATCGGACGTTTTTCTGGATACAATTGCGAAACAATGTGGGGATCCTAGCTCTGCATGCATGGTATGAGAATTGCCCAAGTTTCGCATCTTTTTATTTTTTTTTAAATTAAGTAAATGCTAGTAATAGCGTAAGATATCCAGAGTATACATACAGACAGCAGCACATAGTGCTATCTTATCATGCAGGTAAATTTGAAAACGAAACTGATGAAAGTCGACTCAACATTAAATGAGTTTTCAGTATTTTAGATGGACGAAAATATTAGCCGCAATGTAGAAGTAATTGATATCTCAAGCCCCATTTACACTACACTGAATTTATCATTACGGCACGGCTAAAATGGGCACCCGTACCCAATTTTATTAGTGTTCAGGCTACCAAAACAAAGGCGGAGTACAGATGAAATGGGTACGGGTGCCCATTTTAGCCGTGCCGTGCCAATAAATTGGGTGCAGTGTAAACGGGGCTTAATATTTAGCCGAGAAATTAAAGTATTTTCCTTTGTTTTAAAGATGGATGAAAACAATGCTATCATCGGTAAGCGACTTTTACCTTGCCCCTCCAAAGGTAGTGTTGATAAGCATGAAGATTCTGAGATTTCCCACGAGGAAGTTATGGAGAGATCCAAGATATATTACCCACTAGACGTATGGTGTATACTGGCTAAATACATCGAACCCTTACAAATTCAAACATTTGCGTGCATATGTCGTTCATCCTACCTGGCTATAAATTCATCGACATTTTGGAATCATCTTTATAAACGTTATATCAAGGACACCGTACGTTTACCAAAATGTTTAATGCAAAATTTTGGAGCAAAGAACATCGGACTTAAAATATTTGTGATACGAGCCCTTTTCCTTTTACACCCAAATCTTAGCAGTCGATTCATGAAAGAGGATTCGTTGGACATTGACAAACTATTGTTGCAACAGGTAATTGGATTACGTTGTTGCAACACTTGGTACAAAATTGAAAGCTCATTGGGCAGTTCACACGTTTACCTGTTTCGATTTCAACTTAAAAGCGATGGCAAGAAAGTGTCTGCGCCTAACCTTCCCGCCATTAATCAAGATTATTTAACTCGTAATAATGAAGAGAATTATGTTGTGCTGCAAGTGAGAGTTCGAGAATTTACACGTGTTCATTTCAAAGCAAATACCGCGCTACTAGAAGTATCATTAGACACGGATAATGCATCTTTAACAATGGAGTTTGGTTGTTCAGATGTAGATTGGGATATGGAAAACAATCGAGAGAGTGTGGTTCTTAATGCAGTTAGCGCCATAAAACTGTTACGTTGGTGGCACCCATCTTACCCACATCGTAATTAAATTTTAAACCCGCAAAGAAAGAAAATTAGTATATCACTCTGTTAATTCTCCTTGTTCACATTGCATGTCGTTTCTTCTCGTCTTGCAAAAGATCTTTTGAACGAATGCGTAAGCCTATTGGAAACATACACAATGTAAAGCATCATGCTGAACATTCTCTTCGTGTTAGCAGCAATCAATTCCTAGAAGCAAATCAAACTACATGGCGTATGACAAGAATACCAAATTGTAACATGTCTTGTCATACGTTTATGTAGCAGTTTATTTGCTTTTGTATTATTACAATGCAATTATAAAAAATTCTGGCCTCTGATTGGTCGAACGACCTCGGATTATTACGCGATAATCATCTAAGCGGTTTTTCAAAGGAGTTGTTTTTGCCAAAGTGACAGATGAAGAAATACGTTATTTTATCAGAAATGCTGAACCTGAAGAGGAATGAAAAAATTATTTTCAAGACAAAATACTACTTTGTAGAACGCTTTTCAACTTTATTTTGCGAAAACATTGTTTTATTTGAATCGCCGTAAAACTGTCCAGATATTTGTTTACGTTTGTAAAACATGCATTTTATACAACAGATTCACTTTCTCAATAAATTTGTAATTATACTAAAACAATTATTCACCTCAGGATCGGTGAGTTTCGCTAAATAAAAACCTCAACTTCGTCTCGGATTTTATTCACTTTATTTTATTTCCTATATATAAATAATTGTTTAAATAATGTTTACAGCAATGCCTACTTTGCAGGTGCCCTAGTATAACACTGATGTGGGCGGTAAGAACAAGGAAAATTTTATAAACTAGGATGTATATTTTTCTTAGTAAATTGACACTCCTTTCTTTTACTCCTATATACAGTGGCTTACTAAAGTTTAATTACATTCTCATATTTTTCATTAAGATTTTCATATAACCATGTTTTGTTTTGTCATATAGAAAATTTTAAACTCTCACACAGTTCAAATGCCTATATATAAATCTACATCATTGCAGTAGTTTATAACAACTTTTCTAATACATTTTGTTTTTTTCAGAGTGGGAAACAATGGACCTTTTTCATAATGACGTCAAACGAGGAAAGTATGATGTTACACGAAGTTTGATTGGCTCGATAGTTTTGTAGAACCAATCAAATTTCGTGTAACATCAGACTTTCCGCGTTTGACGTCATTATAAGAAAGGTCTATTTTTCACTTTTAGTCCGGGCGAGAAACATCGCATTTATCCAACGACACGTGACCACGAATAAGCCAATCAATATTAGTATGGGCTTTAGCTAGCCATACAACAATATTTAATGATAGCTACTTGGCCGACATGCACCTCATCCGTCTAAGTCTCACCGCCTTATGTAAATATAAAACTATAAAAAATACTCATGTGAGAAGGAGTTACTTACTCGCTTGGGAAAATAACAAATTTTGTTTCATCAAGGCCAAGTCGATGGAGATATCGACTTATGGGGCAACAAAGTTTAACATTTCCCAAGAGATATTACATTATAAATACATTGTTGTATATATAGCAATAAGAAATAAAACAGAGAGAACAGGTAAAGAAAAATTTTTCTAATTTTTTAAGTTTCGGTGGCATTTTGTTCTTACCCAATACGTTCTAAGGATCGAATGAACATGTGACCACTAATCGGCTAATTACAATTAGAATATAGGCGGTAGATGTATCTCAATTTTCAACTCTTTCCTAAAACTTCACAATTGAGTTAAGTTACAGAAATCCGTGAACAACATTTTCCTAGCGGAAAATCCGTACAATTGCATTTTTAGGGCGTGCCGTATTTACTGGATAGGGGGCTGAGTCGAGTGGTTGCTGTGAAATACGCTAGACGCTAATATGACTTCGATGCTCTTTTATTTTACATGGAAATTGGTCGATAACACTTTGAAGAGATGTGCTCTTGAGAGTGCTAAGTGAGACTGTCCGATTGACAACAATTTACAAGTCATATTATACTCTAGCTAATAAATGTGAGGCGGAAAAACATGCAATTAAGATTAGCGTAAAAGTAATATATAAAAAAAAATGTTCGTAAGTTTCAGACCTTGCGCGCCTACCAGAAACTACATAATTTGCGCGAAATATTAGCGTGACTACTTACTACAGTAGCCTCCTGCTAGTGCAGAAGTTAATGAAGATTAACAATAAACGATGGAGACATAACGCGCACGAAAATGGACATTTCGGCAAGATCTTGTTTTTCGAACCAGTGTTTCATCTTGAATGGTGGAAGTTGTTGAAGATGGGGTCGCTACAGTGGCTGGTAAAACAATGTCCGCGTCCGTGCCCGTGTCAATATTCGGAAAATGAAAAGTTCTACTACATTTTTATGGAAGAGGTATATGACAAAATTTACACGTAAATGCCGGCCGGAAATGCCTACAATGGCCATGTTATTTATTCAATCATCACAATGAGGGTACAGTGGATACCACCAACGCAGTAAGCGAAATTCTGAAACAGGATCAAGAACAATCACTTTTCCGTCACCTTTTCTATACCTGCCATCATGCCGGAAATCATGAAATGTCATTTTTATACAATGAAACCTCAAGTTTCGACTCAAATTTACCGAGATATCTGTCAGGTTCTCTCCTAAAACTGGCTTCAAAAGAATAAAGTTTGATACGGTTATTTGAAGGACTATAAAATCACGTTCGTTATTGGCAGTCAGATATTGAACTCTTTCGTCGTCTGTGCTTAAGAATTTTGACTTGTAAACATCATTGCATTTAAATTTGAAATAAAATAGAAACATGTCAGTGTTTTTAGGTGATGTCGTCAACTTGTACCACGCATGACTACAGCGTAACCCGATAAGCTGTGACGTTGCATGGGTATCACGTGTTGTTTCCAGTGTTTTTTTCCCTAAACGATCATGAAGACTTTTGTACCCGATAAACAAGGCTCGTACAACTCGGCTTTTAAAGCCATTTCTGCTTTCAATCCAGTCCGATTTCAATCGAGCAGGTAAACACTCGCTGTCTGAGATAAATCGCTTGTAAAGGCGTAACCAGAAACTGAAGGAGCTTAGAGCAAAGTAAGATCCACGGCATATGCAAGAAAAAACTTGTACTTGCTCTGGTGTGATATAATTTGCAAGAATACACCATAAATCCAGCGGGTATTGCCTCCCAGGCTGTGCAAGAATCTCATGTCCTGCCGAAATATTTTCAAAATTTTTAACAGTTTTGGCTTCTAAATATTCGATATCATCGCAACTTTCCTGACTTTCGTTTTCTTCGTCGTCGGTTTCCCCGATGTTTGTCCGATCATACCACGGAGATTCGTCAGATACCGTATCCATCTGGCCATTTCCTCCGCTTTTTTAATTTTTTCTGGATGCGAAGTAGGGCGAAGATCCTAAAAGTAAGGAAAAAATCCTTAAAAATGAAATGTGATTTTTGGCGTTGACCGGATTTCATGGGGGTGCCGAATAGATCTTTCCCCTTTTTGTTTTCAAGCGCGCAATTCGTGACGGTAGTTGATTATCAAGGTCAATTTGAGTTGTGATTTCGCCATGTTCAGGAGCGGTTTAGTTTAACAAAAATCAAAAAGAAAGTTTCTTACAAACAAAATCGCTTCATAGCAGAGCGATATCGCAACTCAAAGTTGCTTGATAATCAACTACCGTCACGCATTGCGCGCTTAAAAGCTAAAAGGGGAAAGGTCTATTGAAAAGTATTAATATTAGAATTAAAGACTTGCATTATAAAAATCTAATGCAAGATCATTTTCATGGTTTGATCATAGGATCATTGTTCTTGAACATACTAAAAACATATGGTACTTAATATGCCGCCGTAGTGTAGTTAGGGTAAAAAAAATGAAGGGAAATAAACATTTGATCCCGGCTTATATACCTGCTGACGAAATCATTTTCTTTGAAATTTTCTTGAGATCACCTTCATTTGGGGCATTTGCGAATTCGTTCAAAGAAATGTCTAAAATAATATTTTAAATTACCAATTTTTAAGGGGGTAACGATATAGTTCTGCATATATAGCAATATAACAACAGTTCACACTTGTTAACATATACTCACAAGGAGGAAATCTATGGTCATAAGCTTCCGGGTGTCGCAATTCACTATGCTGCATGCAAAATAAAGTTTCAAACTATTTGGAGGAAAAAGGTTTCTCCTCCTTTCTGATTTATTCAGAAGGTGGTCTCGGATCTAAAGGTCACGTCACGTCAGATCAAGTCAGTCACGTCAGCACGTCACGTCACGTCACACCACACCACACCACACCACACCACACCACACCACAGCCCATCCTATCCCATCCAATTCTTTCCCTTGCCACCCCACTCTACCACATCACATCACATCACATCACACACATCCCATCGCATTACATTACTTACGTTCTGAATTTGAAGTTATAATTACTTGGTGTGCAATCGTGACCTGCATGGCAGCTAAGTTGTAACTAAAAGGTCGTGGGTTCGAATTCCACCGCGCGGTCAAGCTAATTTTTCAGTTTTTCCAGCCGCGGTTAGTTACTCAGATAAGCGCAATCGAAATAGGAATTCACGTAGCTGAGTCATATAAAGACAAACATAACTATCGAAATATTATCAAGCAATGCGTGAGCGATATAATCTTATACGGACTAATGAGCTACTCGCAGAGTGCTTGAGCGTTTTGGCGTTAATGGCAAAGATCAAACCATTCAATAAATATATGTTGGATGCACTTGAGATGCAGGAAAAATACACTCATGCATTCACGTCATACGGTTCAGGGCAGTGAAATAAATATAACTGGAACGCTACCTTCTGACAGGAAGTTGAAGCTAAGTCACCCCCAGTCTTTACACGCAAAAACAAACACGGCCAAAACAAAATTTTTTTTTATGATTTGGTAAATTTGATAAAAACTCCCCGAAAAATTTTTTTAGGGAGTTAAATAACTGATTTTGTTAGTGCTTACAGCCGGCTGAGACATTCTTGACGTTGGTAGAATGCATTTTATGGACCTATTATTGGAAATGCGGAGTAAGACGGTTCTTTGCTAGGAAAAAGCGTAGAGCCTAGCGTCAATGCAGGAATAATTTACAATTAATACAACTTTTTTGCCATCTAGTCACTTAAAATCAAATAAATATAAACTTATAATATTAAACAACGTCTACCAAGTGTATTTTGCGATGAAATTTTAGCTTTAGGATATCCGTTTCGTACAAATATCGTTGTCAAAATTGCACATCGCTATAAACTTGTTCCGTTTAAGAAAATTTGTTTCCAATCTGATCGGCAACTCCAGTTGTAATTCGTAAAACAGTTCACCTGGTTGAATTTAGGAGTAATTCCATTATAATTTCATAAAAAAACATTTAAAACCATGAAACAAACAAAAAATCAATTTTTTTTCAAATTCGCTCTGCATCTGCAGTGTCTCGCGAGTCACGCGCGAATGAAGCCAAAAATTTGCCAAAATTTGCGAGACTTTACCTCCAGACACGCGTGTCTGGAGGTAAAGTCCCGCAAATTTTGGCTTCACAAAAACAATGAGGAGGTATCGTTCCAGTTATTTATTATAGTTCACTGGTTCAGGGTATTCGCAACCGGAAATGATTCGCAAATGCTGTAGTGATTAAACTACATAAATCGTTATTTATTGCATGTCCTTCAATGAACAATTGAATTGTGTTTCATCAAGTATCTATTTTGCATGTGTCTGTGTGCCGGTGTTGTTCGGTAACGCTATTTAGAATGTCTTCTATCATAACAGGTTTTCTTGGCAAAACAGTTGGTCTATTGTGGAACAAAGGACTGGATTTGACAGCAGCGAAACTAACAAGGAAATTAAGACACTCCGACGTTACAGATGAGACAATTCGTCGGTGCTTGTGCGAGAGTTGAATGAGATCAAAATGAAACTTGATGGAATTTTACGAAATGACTTGAACCGCAGCTACCGTTACCTATTGGAAGGTATAGATTTTTTTAAAGCCTCCCTGGATGAAATAAAACCGCAGCAGAACGCCGTAGAACACGACAGTCTAGATGATATCGCTGAAGTACCTGGAACGTCAAGCGGTGGGGACGAAAAGATATTGAATAAAGCTTCAATGCTCCTGGGCGTCGTAGAAATGCTCCAACTCGACTCAAGCGACAATTTCGCGAAAGCAATGGAACGATTCAAAAACGCGCGTGAGAAAGCGCAGGATTCTTTCTTCAGCCAAGGCTCAACCATCGAGGATAAAATCTTTGTGGCAAAAGTACGAATAGTTTCGGAAATTCTCGAGAATATCCGATGTCCGCAGTCCGCTATCACCGGATGTGTATCGTTTTTGAAAAAGCTGCATGGTCTACCCGCAATTCAAGAGATGTTCTCGGTGTACATTCAAAGCCGAGTCGTTATATCGTGGTTGAATAAAGCAAGACGGGTGGAAAATGCGAAAGCCGTGATGTTGATCAACTCTGTTCTGTATCAATACGCTTCCAAATTCAGCAGTAAGTATATTGTTCCGCGTGCGCCTGGCTAACAATCAATCTTCCTGAACTTTCTCGCAGTTTTCACCCTATACAATGGAATGAAATTTCTATGCACCAAAACATCACCGCATTGTGGTGGCGGCATTTCACTACGTTACAGGCAAAATTATTGTCCTAACAAACATGCGTTCTGAGAAATATGGATATTTCGTGCTGATTTATTTAGCAGATGGCGATATGAAGGTATTTTCCTGCCTTTGCAAGGAACCCGGATTTTATCTGCATAAGATCACATCTCATCCAAATGGTCCAGTCGCTCTTTTGGGACCGAGTCGCATCATTTATATTTAAAAAGCTTTATATGTTTGTTGTACTATGTTTGGCAGCCTGAAGGGCCAATCTGAAAATATAATAGTTACAAGGCTTTTACGCAGAAAGGGGTCCGGGCGTCCAGCTGGGCGCCTTCAATCAAAAGTTGACGGCTTTGGACCGAAAATTACCCGGTATGTGGAACTTCGCAATTTCCGGTTCAATATTAAATACTTGGTTGACGGATTTTTGAAAGTTTTTCTCTCAATAAATTTACTTGGAGAGAGTCCGAAGACTACACAAAATTTGCAATAATGCTCTAAAGCTGCAATAATGGCAATAATGGCGAAAACTATGGATGCGGACGGAGGATGAGAAACTAATATTTAACAAATAGTGGCCTCATGCAGATCAGTATATTCTGGACGTTTCTTTCAAACACGTAGCTACCTTAATTACGGTTCAACTATACAACAAATATTACATAAATGAGTACAATTACTTATAAAGAACAACTCACAACGTTTACTTACAGATTTTAGCGTCAAGAGAAGGAAAGACAACAGACAGTTAGTTGCTAACGCAGCGAGCGAGCCTGAAGCAAGCGAGCAAGTCAGCAATTCTAATTCGTACAGGGCTGTGAAAGTAAGATTTCACTTCATTTTTTCGGACCAGGATGCACTGCTGTTAACTGACCAGAATGCTTTGCGTACATGATGCTATAAATACAGGGAATCTGAGTAGTCGACTTAGTTGATTTACTTCGGTTTAAGTAAATCGAAGTAAATTCTACACTTATATATCCAATTCGACTGATTATAGTCGTTCGCTGTCTTTTATAGCACTACTATATATTAGCTATAACGCGAGTTGTAACGACTCCTACATCTTTCAATCGTGGCCGTTTGTGTACATTTCCTATGCATACGAAATGTTATTATTTAATTCATGCTGTTAATAATAAAACTGATAAATAAGCCGATAACGATGCAATTGCTTTGCCTTTGGTGTATGTTGTATTCATTATATGATTCTGGCCTAGTCTTACACTATAATGAATTTGCTCATGTACAAACAATTTATAACACTGACTGAAAAGAAACATTTTTGTGTTTGTGTTCCTCGCTTTTGGAATTTATTTAGTATTCAGCAATGAAGACTTTTAAAGCCTGTATAAATGCGTTTATTTTATGCTTAAAAAGCGTTTAAGTTAAATGTCGTTACCAAACAGTTTGGTCGGTCGACTTTTTGTTTGAGTCTGATTTGATGTAAGGCATAGAATAGGCAGTCAAGAGACATGGCACCAAGAAGTCAGGCAACTATGGGTACAGTGGACAGAAAATTATAGCCTTTTAAATTCAAATTAGCGATAATTGTAAGTGATTTGATTTTTCTCATAAATTATGCTTTGAGTTAATGATACGCGACGAAAACTTTTTTATTACAAAAGAGATCAATTACAACTTAACTCGTGCTGTGCTGCCTAACGCATAACTAGAAAGTCTTTTGCTTATGGTTTGCTATAACTTGTTTGAAGCAATTATAGCTTCTCTG